GGACACTTTGAACTAGTAGTGTTTACAAAATCACCATTGTGCAATGCAAGATGACTGAGAAAGAACAAAAACAAAATGAATTTTCAAAATTTTGATCCGAATTATCCCAGAGGACTCTACTAATTACATGTTAATAGTCTTCACATGCTGTCAAATTGAAGTTTCTTTTCAATAAATTCAGCATTTAATTCTATCCATCTCTTAAACCAAATGAATGTTTGAAAGAAACTTTAACAGCTAAATAGGTCTAGAACACTTAATCTTTTATTGAATACCAATATCTTCAGGTTAAGTATACTTCACTGTGCTTTTTCTATATTATCTATAAACAATTTAAACTGAATAAAATATACATACTTGGTAAGATGTATTGAAGAATGCGAATTTGTTTTAGTATGTTTGCATTGACGTGTACACCGTATTTATCACTGACGAAATTACTTGGTTTTTTCCAACTTATTTTTGTCTACGTGAATCAATGACCCGTGCCATTTTCAATACGCAAGCAGTATTTTTTCATATATGCATTCGTCCCCGTGTGGGGTTTTTCTCTTTCAATCTTCTTCCTCTTCTGTTTCGCTTGTTCTTCGATTTTATTTTGTCATGATCAAAACAAAAATATACGTTGATATATGAAATAAATCACCTTGGAATCTCGAAGTTACTCTTTTTGATGAGTAAAAGAAACCTTGATTGTTTGATCGTGAGGATGTGAGTGTGGGTCTTCATGTTCTATTCCATGAATAATATCCGTACACCCAAATCCGATATTCACACCGTATATTTGCAATGGCTTGTACACCGTATCTATCATTGACGTCATTACGTGGCTTTTATTCACTTACTTTTACTTACTTGAATCAATGAACCGTATCATTCTCAATAGGCAAGTAGTATTTTTTCATGCATGCGCTTGTGATTATCTTGAAAATGAATCAGCCAGTAGACTTAATTAAAACACAACGTTTATTATTAAAAGAAGACTAACAGACAGTCTAAAACGTTTTTGGGAATGATTGCTAATCCATATTTAAACAGAAAGAAAGAAAGAATACCCTTGCCTTGCGGCTACCTTTCAGTATAGGGTGTTGTCCGGAGACAGTTTCAAGAGCCCGATATTTTTCCTACAACTATTACTAGCTGCAGCTCTGGACAGAAGGCCGGCCTGACTCAGAATTCCTTCCGCTTAATTACTTAAGCTTCCCATGCATACTGACTAACCACATACTATCCATGAGGATATTTTTATGTATGTCACNAGAAAGAAAGAAAGAATACCCTTGCCTTGCGGCTACCTTTCAGTATAGGGTGTTGTCCGGAGACAGTTTCAAGAGCCCGATATTTTTCCTACAACTATTACTAGCTGCAGCTCTGGACAGAAGGCCGGCCTGACTCAGAGTTCCTTCCGCTTAATTACTTAAGCTTCCCCTGCATACTGACTAACCACATATTATCCATGAGGATATTTTTATGTATGTCACATGTAATCAGCGTGCTGTCGGATGGGTGATTCGAGACAAAGTAGTCGCTAGTAACTTGTCCAAGGTTATTCTATGGATGATGGCGCCAAGGTTTGAACACACTATCTTGTGGATATGTGTCGAACATCTTAACCATTCAGCCATAGCGGCTGTGTCAAAAAAACAGACGAAGAGAAACAAACACATCTTGTATCTCGTAGTCAATACGAAGTGAAACGTCTAGCCGATAAACGTGCAAAAGAAAACCCAGAAGATAGAAAAGAACGTCTTCCAGCAAAACGTACGAAAGAAATGAACCGCCGACAGAGCTTACGAGCGCGTGAGACTGATGTGGAGCGAAATACTAGGTTAGAGCGTGACCGTGAGCAACATCGGTAAGACTCATAGTTTCTTCGTTTTTGCTATCAAACATTGCTTTCTTTTCGATTCATAGGGCGAAAACAAGTGCGAAAAATGATTCAAATATGGCAACTAACCCAAATTGTGCTGTATGCGGCTATAAAGTTCTGGCTCGGAATTGGTCAAAATTAGCGATTAGATCGTTTCCGAACCTTCATCTTCTTCGGCCTCAGAGCGAAGAGATACCGGATTCTGTTCTGAAAATTAGTTTTTTACGATTTACCAGTAAGAATCTCTATTGATCGCAAATCATCATTTTGAAACGTTTTCTAACTTAAAATACGCTATATTCGGCGAATTTTAGAAATCTTCTCTGGTTTCGATGTTCTCGTCAATGGAGCACTGTTAGGACGATGTGGGATCGACACGACAACTGGATTGGTATTCGTGTGCCTTGGTTGCCAGACCTTTTTAAAAAACAATGCTACCCCTGCGTCGGCTTTGAGCCGCTTATACTCTCCAGATGATCCTTTGGATGAAGAATAACCTTTGTACTGTATATGAAATTGACATTGATTAATATTTTTAAGCTGTTCCAGCAAAAAGAAGGGACGTTTCTATATTTAAATCTAAATTCCTTTTCACTTTGTCAGTGAATGATATCCTAACTATGAACAGTAGAGAGACTTCATGATTTTCGTGAATGCCATCGGTGTAAAAAAAACCGAGCTACTAAAGCTTAGCAATTACTATTTTTTCAAATTTCTTGTTTTCAAATCTCCAGTTCTTTGGTCAATCAAATATGTTCAACACTCAGCAGTCTACGATAAAGTGAACCTGCATTCGATGAATATTATTTTTTTACAGCTTTTAGATATTTGTATTTCTGTTCCCTACACTGAAAGAGTAGGATTCAGAAGCAGAAATCCACCTGTGTCTGTCTGTTTGTATGCCTGTCTGTAACAATGACACAAATGACCAGTTTCAGGGCATAAATTGTTGGTAGACTCACTTAAGAGCCACGAGGATTAGCCATTTCCAAAGACAGTGCAGACGAAGAAGGCAGCCGCAGTTCCTAAAAGGAACTTTGATCCCTCCATCACGAAATTTCTGAAGGGCGTGCTTCAGTAGGCTAAACTGGACCTCTTGCCCTCTGAAAGATATTTAAGTCCCCTGGTGAGAATTGTCAGCAGTGTATTCTATTGGTTAGGAAACTAAGTGCTTCCTCGCCGTACCGAAAGCAAAATCGGGGTTTGCGCACTCCTTCGCATCTGTCTTTCGCATCGACTTTTGGATGCGTGGTTTTATTTATTATTCTTGGAAATTTTTCGTGTTCGTCCCATCGGCATCCCAGCTTCACTTATTCGCTCTTTGTCTTCCTCCTCTCACTTGAACCTACCCAGCGGTCGCTTGAGAAATTTCAGGATCGGTGATAGAAACAGCCCAGTTCGTTCCATGTTCATAGATTTGAACGTGTAAATTCTGTCAGTCTAGGGCCCAGTAATTCGATTTTCGATTCACGTTACTTGTACTTAGTAACACCCCCGTTTCTAGTAACATGGATCTCAAACAGTAAAGTTCATTATCATTATATATGGGCTGTAGCTGGTTAAAAAATCAGATTTTTCAGATGACTTGTTGAAGCTAAATAAACAAATGAATATCGGGGTATTCTGTCAACTGGCCACGCCCATCTGATAAAACAATCACCAGCGTAGAATTTTGCACCAATGCAAGAGAACAGTAAACGAGCGGAAAGAACTTTAGAAGTAAAAGGATTCGAAAAGAAATGAAAATATCAAAGAGTAAAAGAGATTTATTTATGTTAGTGTTTGTCACAAAATGAAAATGAATATTAAATGATATTCTTGAGGCTTATAAATTCTATAAATGACTTCTCTTTGCAGAATTCCCATTTTTCACCAATACTACTCGAATCCCCAGACCGAACAAGACATTATCGAACTATATCCCGGTTATTATTTTCTTTCTCTGAAATACAAATATTTTGTCAGCAGGCCAAAGTCGTCTACAGCATCAACAAGCAATCTGAATCAGGTATCTAAGGCAACAATAATCTTTAAGTAGAACTTCCTAAGAAGCGACTCAGACTTTAAGGTTATGTTTAGGAGTTTCAATGTCAATGTCAATAAAAAGAAAACTTGATATATACTTTCCCACAATACCACTGAAAGACTAGTAAAATTATGCCCTAGACTTGTGGCTCTGTATAATATTAGATATGTAAGAACAATATAAAAATGAGAAACAGTTACTTATTTACATAATCGATGCTATCCAATCATAATCTACTCGAGTCTAGAGTAGTTGTATGACCATCTATAGACCGATTGACTTCACCGCTTGTCATCGCACGTCTTTTGCATAGAGTATGATGTGCACTATAAATGATATCCTTCAGTCATGCAATTAGGTACGTACCTGATTGGTCAGTTTTTATGAATAGATGTTTCCATTCCATGGCGCAGAACTAGCTTTTCTCACTTTACTTCTTTTAATTAAGTACAAACGCCTTATCTAAGATTAGAGTAGGAAAAAAAAATGATGAGGAACACCAATATTACTCGATTCAATTCATGATATATTCTACACAACTATTACAGCATGATTCAGTCAGTTTCGAAGTATTTGGCGATACTTCCAACAATAGTTTGTCAGTTGGCAATCTTACAATCAATCACAAAGCTAGCCGCATCATTAACTTTAATGAAGCCGAACTTTTCTCGCTTTGTTTCGGATATAATTGCATTGATGTCTGGCTTATAAGCGGTAACAAAGAGTTAAAGACCATTTATTTTCCATCGACTTCGTGTAGTAGTTACTGCGCTATTGATGAGTTCTTCAGTGGCTTCAACATTTACTCAAAAGATATCACCAAATAGATTTCCAACAGAGATTGAGAACTCTATAGTAACCGTTCTCAAGAAATGCTTTTGTATGTTTCAAAGGATTCGTAATTGTTGAATGAATCGTAAGATTCATTCAACAATTACAAGTCCTTCGAAACATACAAACGCAGTTCTCTATAAAAATATCTTCTTTTATTTGAACATAGTGCTACTCGAGTACGCTTGAGCTGATTTCTGTTAAAAATAAATTGATTGAAATGAACATTTGAATATATTTGTTTGGAGTATGATAGAATCTGTTGTCGGATACAGTAAATACCTGCGTGCTGATGTCACTAAAAAGGAGATTATTTTAATAAAAAGTTTTTTAAGTTGATGCGACTGCGTAGAATGTTTATTTGGAAGAGGGTTTACCACCAATTGAATCATTCTGTAGCTTTCAATTAGCTTGGCTTCAGGAGATATTCGTGACTGGATAGCACATGCTTTACAAATGCTGGATCCATTAGTTATTGTATATCCCATAATTCTCTTTTTGTAGCATCACCCGGCTTCCTGTTGCATCCTCAAAGAATTAGTCCATCAGTACGAGCTATTGACGTCTGAACTACCTCTGCGTTTCATGCTACTTCTACTGATGTTTTTCAAGTAATTGGTTTACCAGAACCATCATTTACCTGTTAATAAGGAATCTGGTTTAGCTGTTACATATAAATCAGATGAGCATATCATACGTGATACACTAATGTCACTGAAAAGTTGGTTCAACGTTTTTCTAAATCATATCTACTCAAGTTAAAATGTAGCTAGAAGCCTCACCTACTCGGTTTCAAGTCTGATCTGTTAAATTATATATATCCCTGGCCAACGAATTGTTGCTCAATACGTATCCGCTAGCATCAATTGACCCTTGCTTAGCACAACTACCTAATTGGTTTTTAGAAGAAGTCTTCCTTCTGTGCAAGGAATCTCAATTACATGTACTAATTTATCTTGAAATCTTCTCGAAAATTGATTCGAAAAGCATAAAGACTACTGTAGTTTTGTGCACTTCTTGTATTTCATTTGAGTTGCAGATTTATTTTCTGGGACCGATATGCGTTGAAAAGTTTGTACCATCACTTATTCACCGCGAATGCTACATAAATCAAAATCAATAATTTATAGATCTGGGCGTGGCCAGTTGACAGGATACCCCGATATTCATTTGTTTATTTAGCTTCAACAAGTCATCTGAAAAATCTGATTTTTTAACCAGCTATAGCCCATATATAATGATAATGATCTTTACTGTTTGAGATCCATGGTACTAGAAACGGGGGTGTTATTAAATATGTCCTTATCGTCATTGTGTAGAATATTCGTCACATCTATTTTGTTTACATTTCGTTCGGAATATAAATCTAGAGTACGAGCCATGTCATCCCTTCTGTCGTTTTTTTGTACTTCAGTAACATTATCCTTGCTCTAACTGTAATTTTTTTCCTCACTTTCGTTCTGCCTTTTCTTTAGCACACTTTCACTCGTTTACAAACACTTTCTATCTTCGTATCATGTTTCCTCCACAAATTCACTGGAGTTGCTCTCAATGTCGATCTGCCACGACTGACCGTCGAAAATATTGTACCACTTGTCACTCTCTGTTAACTTGTACATTTATCGGTTCACAAAGATCTGGATTGTACACTAATTATTATCGTCATCGTGATAATTGCAGTTATTGTACACCAGAATTTGAACAAGAAAAACAACAGGAAATTGAAGAGATGCAATGACAGTTTCAAACTTTAGAAAAAAGTAAGTAATCTTATTCATCTTAATTTATACATACATGGCTCATTCTCTCCATATCGTAGAACAACGTCCGTGTTCGGAATGGGGACGTACTAATGAATCTTGTGTACAACATACTGGATTTGACATCGAGCAAGTACAAGAATTATATTCTATGTGCGAACAACCACTTATAAATTATTGCTCCCCTAAGAATTATCGACATACAAACAGTACCAATAGGTCATATTTATCTCCTATGAATTTACTTGCTGTTATATTATGGTTCTTGAAGCATTATCATTCTGAACGTTATATTGCTTCAGAATTAAATTTGGATCGATCAACAGTAAATTATTTACCATCCGAGATTGTGGATATTTTACATTCCTATATATATTCACAATTAATTACAATGCCTGCTAATATATCCGACAGAATTACAGCACATGGACCTGAAGAATATCATAAATTAATAGTTGATTCGACTTTCATCCCAATACCTGAACCTGGCGATTCAACTCAACGTAAAGCATGCTATCATGCAAAAAGTCCGACAAATTATGCGTTAAAAGTGTAAGTAGCTTGTGATTTTCATCCTCGAATAGTACATGTGTCTGAATGTTACAGAGGCAGTATACATGATATTACAATTCTAAGGGAATCAGGACTATTAGAACATGTGAACGACTCGGTGCAAATTATTGCTGACAAAGTTTACATCGGCGAAGAATACGTTGTCACTGCAAGAAAGAAACCTCGTGGACGTGAATTGGAAGACGAAGATAAAGATTTCAATCGAAATATAAATAGTGCTAGAGCAGCGATTGAAAACATCAATCAACGTCTCAAAGCATACGCCATCTTAGGTAGTGTTTACAGAGGAGCGGTTGATGATTATCATAAGATAACTAAAATTGCACAAGTTGTGTCAGCTTTATGTAACATGAATCTGAATAAACATCCTATTCGTATATAACCAACAACATACGTCGTTCTTTCTGATTAAACACTTGATAATGAAACTATATTACATACATTATGTTCTTTCCAATTTCTTAAGAGAGACTGGTGTGTATTAACAAAATAGATGTGACGAATATTCTACACAATGACGATAAGGACATTCCCTAGACTGAAATGATAGGGTCTGGAAACGGTAATTTTCTTTGCTTGGACCGGTGACGTCTATGTTTGGAGCGGTGACAGAGATTGTTTGAGTGTTTTGATCTACTCTCCGAGGTAAATTGGGGCTTTTAGTAGATTTTATAACCATATTCTTGGGTCTCTTTTTTTCGTTTTTTTTCTAGCTAACTTTCAAAGAAATATCGCAATCTTTTCCAGTCTTTCAAATATTAGTCTTCCCTGATCTGATTTCAGCTTTCGTAATTTATCGCGCTTTTTCTTAATTTCACTTTTGAGTATTTCATCACATACAGTTTCATTTCCTTTGAGTTTGTTTACTTGAATACGATATTGTGGCGAAATAACGGTGCCAACTCGTCACCCACCGATCTTAATTCTTCCAGTAAGATTTACGGTTATATGAAAATAGATATTCTGATGTCGACTTCTAAAAACCGAATGCAAGCTTTTCGTGCCCGTCGTGCTCTTGTAGAGACTGCTGAACAAAAAGAGAGCCACCTGGTTGTTGACAGACAATACAGAAAACAGCGACTGGCCGATTTTGGTGTCAAAAGAAAGAAAGAAAGAAAGAATACCCTTGCCTTGCGGCTACCTTTCAGTATAGGGTGTTGTCCGGAGACAGTTTCAAGAGCCCGATATTTTTCCTACAACTATTACTAGCTGCAGCTCTGGACAGAAGGCCGGCCTGACTCAGAGTTCCTTCCGCTTAATTACTTAAGCTTCCCCTGCATACTGACTAACCACATATTATCCATGAGGATATTTTTATGTATGTCACATGTAATCAGCGTGCTGTCGGATGGGTGATTCGAGACAAAGTAGTCGCTAGTAACTTGTCCAAGGTTATTCTATGGATGATGGCGCCAAGGTTTGAACACACTATCTTGTGGATATGTGTCGAACATCTTAACCATTCAGCCATAGCGGCTGTGTCAAAAAAACAGACGAAGAGAAACAAACACATCTTGTATCTCGTAGTCAATACGAAGTGAAACGTCTAGCCGATAAACGTGCAAAAGAAAACCCAGAAGATAGAAAAGAACGTCTTCCAGCAAAACGTACGAAAGAAATGAACCGCCGACAGAGCTTACGAGCGCGTGAGACTGATGTGGAGCGAAATACTAGGTTAGAGCGTGACCGTGAGCAACATCGGTAAGACTCATAGTTTCTTCGTTTTTGCTATCAAACATTGCTTTCTTTTCGATTCATAGGGCGAAAACAAGTGCGAAAAATGATTCAAATATGGCAACTAACCCAAATTGTGCTGTATGCGGCTATAAAGTTCTGGCTCGGAATTGGTCAAAATTAGCGATTAGATCGTTTCCGAACCTTCATCTTCTTCGGCCTCAGAGCGAAGAGATACCGGATTCTGTTCTGAAAATTAGTTTTTTACGATTTACCAGTAAGAATCTCTATTGATCGCAAATCATCATTTTGAAACGTTTTCTAACTTAAAATACGCTATATTCGGCGAATTTTAGAAATCTTCTCTGGTTTCGATGTTCTCGTCAATGGAGCACTGTTAGGACGATGTGGGATCGACACGACAACTGGATTGGTATTCGTGTGCCTTGGTTGCCAGACCTTTTTAAAAAACAATGCTACCCCTGCGTCGGCTTTGAGCCGCTTATACTCTCCAGATGATCCTTTGGATGAAGAATAACCTTTGTACTGTATATGAAATTGACATTGATTAATATTTTTAAGCTGTTCCAGCAAAAAGAAGGGACGTTTCTATATTTAAATCTAAATTCCTTTTCACTTTGTCAGTGAATGATATCCTAACTATGAACAGTAGAGAGACTTCATGATTTTCGTGAATGCCATCGGTGTAAAAAAAACCGAGCTACTAAAGCTTAGCAATTACTATTTTTTCAAATTTCTTGTTTTCAAATCTCCAGTTCTTTGGTCAATCAAATATGTTCAACACTCAGCAGTCTACGATAAAGTGAACCTGCATTCGATGAATATTATTTTTTTACAGCTTTTAGATATTTGTATTTCTGTTCCCTACACTGAAAGAGTAGGATTCAGAAGCAGAAATCCACCTGTGTCTGTCTGTTTGTATGCCTGTCTGTAACAATGACACAAATGACCAGTTTCAGGGCATAAATTGTTGGTAGACTCACTTAAGAGCCACGAGGATTAGCCATTTCCAAAGACAGTGCAGACGAAGAAGGCAGCCGCAGTTCCTAAAAGGAACTTTGATCCCTCCATCACGAAATTTCTGAAGGGCGTGCTTCAGTAGGCTAAACTGGACCTCTTGCCCTCTGAAAGATATTTAAGTCCCCTGGTGAGAATTGTCAGCAGTGTATTCTATTGGTTAGGAAACTAAGTGCTTCCTCGCCGTACCGAAAGCAAAATCGGGGTTTGCGCACTCCTTCGCATCTGTCTTTCGCATCGACTTTTGGATGCGTGGTTTTATTTATTATTCTTGGAAATTTTTCGTGTTCGTCCCATCGGCATCCCAGCTTCACTTATTCGCTCTTTGTCTTCCTCCTCTCACTTGAACCTACCCAGCGGTCGCTTGAGAAATTTCAGGATCGGTGATAGAAACAGCCCAGTTCGTTCCATGTTCATAGATTTGAACGTGTAAATTCTGTCAGTCTAGGGCCCAGTAATTCGATTTTCGATTCACGTTACTTGTACTTAGTAACACCCCCGTTTCTAGTAACATGGATCTCAAACAGTAAAGTTCATTATCATTATATATGGGCTGTAGCTGGTTAAAAAATCAGATTTTTCAGATGACTTGTTGAAGCTAAATAAACAAATGAATATCGGGGTATTCTGTCAACTGGCCACGCCCATCTGATAAAACAATCACCAGCGTAGAATTTTGCACCAATGCAAGAGAACAGTAAACGAGCGGAAAGAACTTTAGAAGTAAAAGGATTCGAAAAGAAATGAAAATATCAAAGAGTAAAAGAGATTTATTTATGTTAGTGTTTGTCACAAAATGAAAATGAATATTAAATGATATTCTTGAGGCTTATAAATTCTATAAATGACTTCTCTTTGCAGAATTCCCATTTTTCACCAATACTACTCGAATCCCCAGACCGAACAAGACATTATCGAACTATATCCCGGTTATTATTTTCTTTCTCTGAAATACAAATATTTTGTCAGCAGGCCAAAGTCGTCTACAGCATCAACAAGCAATCTGAATCAGGTATCTAAGGCAACAATAATCTTTAAGTAGAACTTCCTAAGAAGCGACTCAGACTTTAAGGTTATGTTTAGGAGTTTCAATGTCAATGTCAATAAAAAGAAAACTTGATATATACTTTCCCACAATACCACTGAAAGACTAGTAAAATTATGCCCTAGACTTGTGGCTCTGTATAATATTAGATATGTAAGAACAATATAAAAATGAGAAACAGTTACTTATTTACATAATCGATGCTATCCAATCATAATCTACTCGAGTCTAGAGTAGTTGTATGACCATCTATAGACCGATTGACTTCACCGCTTGTCATCGCACGTCTTTTGCATAGAGTATGATGTGCACTATAAATGATATCCTTCAGTCATGCAATTAGGTACGTACCTGATTGGTCAGTTTTTATGAATAGATGTTTCCATTCCATGGCGCAGAACTAGCTTTTCTCACTTTACTTCTTTTAATTAAGTACAAACGCCTTATCTAAGATTAGAGTAGGAAAAAAAAATGATGAGGAACACCAATATTACTCGATTCAATTCATGATATATTCTACACAACTATTACAGCATGATTCAGTCAGTTTCGAAGTATTTGGCGATACTTCCAACAATAGTTTGTCAGTTGGCAATCTTACAATCAATCACAAAGCTAGCCGCATCATTAACTTTAATGAAGCCGAACTTTTCTCGCTTTGTTTCGGATATAATTGCATTGATGTCTGGCTTATAAGCGGTAACAAAGAGTTAAAGACCATTTATTTTCCATCGACTTCGTGTAGTAGTTACTGCGCTATTGATGAGTTCTTCAGTGGCTTCAACATTTACTCAAAAGATATCACCAAATAGATTTCCAACAGAGATTGAGAACTCTATAGTAACCGTTCTCAAGAAATGCTTTTGTATGTTTCAAAGGATTCGTAATTGTTGAATGAATCGTTTGAATGATTTTTTTATTGATGCGTCGTTATTAAAGACGAAATTTTGCTGTTTTATGATGATATTTCAAATAAGTCTAACGATTGCGAATAAGGCGAAAAATTCATTAAGCGCCGTTATTATGGGCGAAACTTTGCTGGAATTCTAATATAATCACAAGGCTAACCACTTGTGGTTACTAGTTACCAAAAATAGCTGGACGTCATTACTAGGGACATCGCACCTAATAACGACAATCGAGGGTCGTCTCCGTATACCCCTGATTTCTCAACTATTTTAAACGCTAGAGAGACAGAAAGCACACCATTCGAAAGAGGAGACCTCGGAGATCATGCAACTATAAAAACTCTTTCATTAAAGCGTATACGACTCATAAACGAACTCAAACAATGAAAGTAAATTTTTTCCATCGTTATAAGGGACACCCACTCAAGATATATAGATTAAATCCTATAGATTTGGACGTACTGATTCTGACTTACTGATTTAGATGTATTAAATACAAGATTTATAAGCTTTAAGGTATAGATTTAGACGTACACATTAGGATGTGCGGATTTGTGAGTGCAAAACTAGAGGAATATAGATGTATTGATTTAGTCGTTTACATTAACAAGTACTGATTCAGGAGTCTAAAAATATTAGGATTTATGTGAATAAATTTGCACGTGCTCGTTAATATGTGATGATTTGGTTGTGGAGATTTAATTCGACTCATTATCAGTAGTATGACTAGAAGATAATTGATGAAAAGCTTGGGAAACACTTAACCATAAGAGAACGAGCCTAAAATTCCCACGTTTGCCTTTATCGTTTTCGATCGAAACAATAAATAGGATGGACTCCTTCTAAACCCTTTTTGGGTTTCGTGGGATCCACAATACCTCTTTTAGGTTTCGCACTATGTGTGACATACTTTTTTAGATAAAGTGATTTTTATTAAATACTGACGCTGACAAAAGTCTGTTGAATGAATTGAGAGGGAGTAACTTACACTTTAAATAGTCCTTTTCTCACGTGACGAACATTTATCATATCATTTTTCATGCTACTTAAATAATTAGAATTTCAAATCACTGGTTCTGATTTTTGTTTTCAGTTTGAAATGAAGCTTTTGCAGATCGTTTTGATAAGCAAATCTATATGCATCGTATAAGTCCTTGAAACTTTGTTCTTCTTTTGTTCGTGTTTGTGAATGGTGTCATTGATTATATGAGCCATTCAATGTTAGCCACACTTAGAGGTGTTCATTCATATTAACTTTACTAGTAAATAGGTAAATAAAATACTTACTATTTACTTTAGTAAGATAATTGATTTATTTACTATTTACTTAAGTGAAGTAACTAATTTATTTATTACACTCTAAAACAAAATGGCTCTTTACCGAACCCTCAAAAAAGGTTCCGGAGATTTCTGAAAGCACCCAAAGGTGTCCAAAGTCTCAAAAAAAGGATAAAAAGTTCTACGAAACCTTTAAAGGTTCTTACGCTGTATTGAGGATAAGAAGGGTGTGGGTGCGGGTGTGGGTGCGGGTGTGGGTGTGGGTGAGTGAGGATTAAACGATTCTTCACGTCCACGCCCATGCCATCACCAACACACACCCACACCACACCCACACCCCTGCACAATGACCGAAACTAATTCGGTTAACATGAGTCAAAAAAAACTGAAAAATGACCTTCAAACTCACAAGCAGACAGACAGACAAACAAATTTCTCTTCATACGACCCTCTCTATTCAGCCGTGAGAATAAGTAAATAATAAAAATCAAGAAGGAAAGTCATCAGCTCGAAAAGTTTCATTTTTCACTAATCTGTAGCTCTTAAATGTGGTTAAAGCATTTTAACTAGTTGAGTACTTCAGTATGACAACTTTGATAATCGAGCCAGTTTGCTTTAATTTTTAAAACTTTATAGTCTAATCGCTGGCTTGATTTCATGGTAGTTATAGTACAACATTTTGACGAAGCATTTTTGAGTAAGCTCCATCTCTCTCTATTAATTCTGTATGGGTACCACTTTCAATTATTCGTCCTTCATCGACTACATAAATCACATCACATGATCGAATCGTTGAAAGACGATGAGCGATTATTATTGATGTTCGACTCGGATCTTCTATTCTAGCTTCTTCAAGTGCTTCTTGTATAATCTAGAATTGTAATATAATGATAAAGTCTCAATTATTAATTAGAAAGCTAAACGAATAAGCATACTTTTTCATTGTATGAATCCATCGCACTAGTAACTTCATCAAAGAGAAAGACTTTAGGCCGACGAATTAGAATTCGAGCAATCGCAATACGCTGTTTTTCACCGCCAGAGAGAAAACGACCGTACTCTCCTATCCTTGTTTCATAGCCCTAAATGGATCAAGATTATGTGACAGCTAATAATGTTGTCTAGCATTCATTCGGTTTAACCTCAGACAATTGTTCAATAAATTGATGAATGTTAGCTCTTTTTGCTGCACTGATAATTTCATCCATTTGAACATGTTCCAAACCATATGCTATGTTTTCAGCAATGGTTAAATCAAACAACACAGGTTCTTGAGTGACTAGACCAAAATGAGAACGAAGCGAGTGAATGTTCAACTGTCGAATATCTATTCCGTCAAGAAACTAAAGCGATAGGACAAAGTTCATTCATGACTGCTATCACTGCCAAGTGATCAGATACGAACTATGTTGCCTTTAGTAGCATCATAAAACCTTTCTAACAATTGAATAATTGTTGATTTTCCGCTTCCAGATAAACCTAATTGAGTTATATCATTAATTTATTTAGTATACTAAAGAAATCTTGAATACAAGCATACCAACAAGAGCTACAGTTTGACCTTAAAAAAATTTGATGAAATGAAAAACATAAGCAAAATAATCAAAATTCACTAAGCTTACCTGAACGAATGTTTAATTGAAATCCTTTAAGAATGATAGATGTTGGTCGATTTGGATAAATGAATTTGACTTGATCAAAACTAATATTGCCATGAAAATCAACCTAAATAAATTGCATAGTATACATGACCTGTTTGCGACCATAAGTATATAATTATATCATTTGTAAATCTTTACCAATAGTTGTCCCTCGGTTGATCCGTTATCTATATATGGTTTTCTATCAAATATATTAAAAAAATACTCGGCACCCGAGAATGATGCGGCAAGACGGTTTGACCTAGAATTCATTCATAAGAACAATTGTGATGTTATCTAGAGGCTAATACAATTACATGAATCCTATGACTTTTGATGCTTGTGTTGAAAATATAGCAACAGACAAGACCCTGATAACGTGAATAAATAATAGAAATGTTCACTGAAGCTTCTTATGTTGAATTTTTTCTTACATCATGATGTTATTTGCGAAAATCTCATGATTTTTGAGCAGATTAAAAGTGCATAAATATAAAAAAGCCAAAACATAAAGGTCGAATGCCCAATAAATACTGAATTCTATTGTGGATATTATCAACGACTTTCTAAATAATCTATGAGAAACAAAAGATCATTTAAAAATAAATCCCTTCATAAAATAAGATGTCTCACATGGATATCTGTTTAACAAATCCAGTATATTTTCTTAGAACTTCCTTCTCTACCAGTAAATGCTTTACGGTACGTAGGTTTTGAACAACTTCAATTGCAAACTACGTAATATACAATCAAAATAATTTTCTAAAATTACTGTTACTTAATATGTTATAATTAATTCAATTTTCTGAATGCAAATGTTGCCAGTTAAAATCAGACTTACCATGCTGGACTGTCCAGCAATCGAATCTATCTGCTCATTCAGCGGGGCTACTATGCGGCATTTCGTGTATATGATGATAAGAAACGTACACAATGAAGCAGCAATTATTAATCCTATTTGCCAATGTAAACTAGATCCTAACGCAATTCCGAATAACATGAGCGCGATAATTTCACAAATTACTCCTGATCTTGTGCCAGCCAGCTCTTGAACAGCTATTGCACCAGAAGAAAGATGAGCTGATATTACACCAGAACTATGTTCAATTCGATCAAAATAAGCCACCTCTTGACGAAGAAGACATTCAAAAGCTTGTGAACGAAATCGCTGCGTCAGTTTCGATCCAGAGATGGCGAAAGCTGTATACTGAAAAGCAGTTGAACATGTTACTCAAATTTTTTGCAACTAAGTGTCTTACTTGAACGAGACGAGCAATTAATATAAAAACACCCACAAGTAAAAAGATCAAACTAGCGTTTAGTACATGACTTCTTTGTTTTGCTCCGGGATAATATTTAAAAGCCTAAATATAAAAACTGAAATTAAAAAGAAAGACTTTATATGTAAATTACTCACATGAATTACTCTCGCAAGCAAAAAACCAAATAATGATTGCGAACCACCAACAAAAATACACCCAATGCACCCAATTAAAATAATGATCCATTCAGGGCGATTCATTGTCAAAAGTCTTAAGAAGACAGATATTTGACTAAAAGGTTTCTCAACAGCCTAATGTAGTGATTAAAAAGGCACATTGGCATGAGTACTGCTATAGAATAGTCTTTACTTTGTGCTCAGCAACCATTTCACTCATACTAAGTCGATGAGAGTATTCATCTAGTGAAAATAAAACAAAAGAATTCAGAACAATTAGAATATATTTGTGTCACTAGTATCGTACAAGCTAAATTTTCTTCTTCTGTAACTTTTTGCATGTATGGCGTATCATCCATATTATCACTTATTCTTTCTATCTCTTGACGCTTGAACATAGCTTGATACCTGCCTTCCGGTACTACCATCAAATTTTCATGAGTACCTTCTTCAATCAAAACTCCATTTTCTAATACGTATATATAATCAGCATTTTTTATTGTGTTTAACCGATGCGCAATAATAATTGTTGTACGATCTAGATGAAATGATATATCATCAACTCCTTAACGAGAAAGACAAGAGAAGCTTACCTTTGCGATTTCGATCAAGTGCTTCTTGGACGATTCTTTCATTCGCATTATCAAGTGCACTCGTTGCTTCATCTAGTAAAAGAACATTTGGTTGTTTAATAAGAGCTCGAGCCAATGCAATGCGTTGCTTCTCTCCCCCACTCAACTGGATACCACGTTCGCCAACAAGAGTTTCATATTTCTAAATAAGATACTCATAAACATACAGTCCTGAAGATCAGTATAATTATAGTAGCTCAGAATTTTTGAACAATTCGTAAGGAAATTTTCCATATTACTCTGTGTAATTTGTGAGGAGTAAAAAGTTGTTTTGCACGACCTACACTGTAAAAAAAGGGCAGAATAATGAACGCTTGCCCTTGATTTTTTTTTCTATAAACCCTTGAAGGGTTTATACGTGTGTCATATACCCTATGGAGGGTATATGAGTCGAAGGGTTTGTCATCGCA